TAAACAGTCTGCTCCTCATTGATCTTTGGGTCGCCAATGAAATCAAGATGAAAATTTTAAAGATCCTTGAAATTAATGACAACAATGAAACAAGTTAAGACCTCTGGGACACAGCAAAAGCTGTGCTCAGAGCAAACTTTACAGTGCTTAAGGCCTATATCAGTAAGACTGAAAGATCACATACTATACATATTGATTACATATTGTCACACCTCAAGAAACTAGAAGAACATGAACAAACCAAACCCAAAGTTAGTAGAATAAAATAACGAAGATCGGAGAAGAATTAACTAAAATTTAAACTAAAAGAAGCAATATAAAGTATAAATAAAATGAAAAGTTGGTTCTTTGAAAGAATAAACAAAATAGATAGACTCTAGCTAGATTAATTAAGAAACAAAGAGAGAAGATTCAAATTAGTTCAATCAGAAATAAGAATGGAGACATTATAGTTGACATGACAGAAATACAAAAGACCATCAAAGATTATTAGGACGATTTTTATGCTAATAAACTAGACAATCTAGAGTAAATAGATAAATTGTTGAAAGCATACAATTCCCTAACCTTGAATCAGGAAGACACAAAAACCCTGAACAGACCAATAATAAGTAGCAAGACTGAGAAGTCTCCCCTCCCCTCCCCCAACCCAAAAAAAAGTCCAGGACCTGACAGACTCACAGCCAAATTCAACCAGAATTTCAAAGGAGATCTAAGACCAATTTTACTGAAGCTATTTCATAAGATTGAAGAAGAGGAAATTCTCACTAGCTCATTCTATGAAGCCAGTGTCACCTTTATACCAAAGCCAGGAAAAGACACAAGAGCAACAACAAAGAATACTACAGAGCAATATCCTTGATGAACATAGATGCAAAAATCCTCAACAAAAAACCAGCAAACTAAATTCAGCAGCATACAAATAATAATAATAATAATAATAATAATAATCCATCATGATCAAATGGGCTTTATCCCAGGGATGCATGGATGGTTCAACACATGCAAGTCAATATTTGTGATCTACCACATAGACAGAATCAAAAACAAAAATCATATGATCATTTCAATAGACAGAGAAAAAACATTTTATAAAATCCGCATTCCTTCATGATAAAAACCCTCAGCAAACTAGGCATAAAAGGAATATCCCTCAAAATACTAAAAGCCATATAAGACAAACTCATAGTCAATGTCATTCTAAATGGAGAAAAGTTGAGTGCATTGTTCCTTAGAACTGGAGCAAGTTTAGGATATCCACGTTTACTACTTCTACTCAACATAGTACTGGAGTCCTTGACAGAGCAATCAGACAAGAAAAAGAAATAAAAGTCACCAAATTGGAAAAGAAGAAAGCAAACTATCTCTGTATTCTGATAATATGTTCTTATACTTAGAGAATCATAAAGACTCCTCCAAAAGACCATTAGACTTACAAATAAATTCTGAAAAGTTTCAGGATACAAAATCAACACACAAAAATCAGTAGCACTGCTATACATCAATAGCAACCAAGCTGAGAATCAAATCAAGAACTCAACCATTTATAATAGCAGCCAAAAAGCTAAAATACTTAGGAATATATTTAGCCAAGGAGGTAAAAGATCTCTGCAAGAAGAATGACAAAACATTGATGAAAAAAATTTTAGAGGACACAGACAAATGGGAAAACATTCTATGTTCACGGATTGGAAGAAGCAACACTGTTAAAATGACCATATTACTCAAGGTTATCTACAAATTAACATAATCCCTATCAAACTACCAACATCATTTTTCAAAGAATAAGAAAAAACAACCCTAAAATTAATATGGAACCAAAAAAGAGCCAGAATAGTCAAAGTAATCCTAAGCAAAAAGAACAAAGCTGGAGGCATCACATTACCTGACTTTAAAGTATACTATAAGACTATAGTAAACAAAACAGCATAGTACTGATACAAAAACTGACACATGGACCAATAGAACAGAATAGAGAATCCAGAAATAAACCCAAATACCTACAACTAACTGATCTTTGACAAATTATACAAAAATATACACTAAGGAAAGACCACCCTATTCAACAAATGATGCTAGAAAAATTGAATAGCTACATGCAGAAAAATGAAACTTGATCTCTATTTCTCTATTTCTCAACATACTCCCCCCCACCAAAAAAAACTCAAGATGGATTAAAGACCCGTCAGACCTGAAAAACATTTTCAAAGAAAACTTAGGAAAAATTCTTCTGTCCATTGCCTATACAAATAATTTATGGCCAAAACCCCAACAGTAAATACAACAAAATTAAAAATAAATAAATAGGACTTAGTTAAACTAAAAAACTTCTGCACAACAAAAGAAACAATCAACATAGCAAATAGGCAGCCTACAGAATAGGAGAAAATATTTGCAGGCAATACATTTGACAAAGGACTAATATTCAGAATCTACAAAGAACTAAATCAAATAATTTTTTTTAAATGATCCCATTAAAAAGTGGGCAAATGGGGGAGGGGCTGGGATTGGCAGTTGAGGGAAACTGCTGGGGGAGAGAGGAGCACATCTCATCAACAAGGGAACCTGCATAATCAACATTTGTATACCTAACCCTGAATTATACACCACATCTTTAAAATTAAAAAAAAAATTAAAAAATAAAAAAATTTTAAAAGGCACCTAAAAAATAGTGGGCAAATGATACGAACAGACATCTCTCAAAAAGAAAATTAAAAAATGACCAACAAACATAAGACAAAATGTTAATCACTAATCATCAGAAAAATTCAAATTAAAACCACAATGAGATATTAGCTTACACTAATTAGAATGGCTACTATTTTTAAAAAATCATAAAACAATAGATGCTGGTGCAAATGCAGTGTAAAGGGAACCCTTATGCACTATTGGTGGGAGTATAAATTAGTATAACCTTTGTGGAAATTGATATGAAGATTTCTCAAAGAACTAAAAGTAGATCCATCATTTGATCTAGTAATCTTACTACTGGGTATCTACCCAAAGAACAGAGATCATTATACAAAAAAATAAAAAAGAAAAACATACACGCCTGCACTCTCATGTTCATCACAGCACAATTCACAATCACAAAGATGTGTAATCAACCTAAATGTCCATCAACTGGTTAATGAAAATTTGGCATATATGGCATATATATATGTATACATATATATATATAAAATATAGTAATATTCAGCAACAAAAAATGAAATAATGTGGAAACTTTGAACATCATCAGAAAACCAAACACTGTATTTTCATTGATAAGTGAGAACTAAACTAAGGAGATGCAAAGGCATAGAGAATGATATAATGGACATTGGAGACTCAGGGGAGTGCAGGAAGGTGAGGAGTGACCAAAAAATCACCTATTGGGTACAATGTGCACAGGTGGGGGTGTTGGGTACACTTAAAGCCTAGACTTCTTCACCACTATGCAATGCAATCATGTAACCAAAAACTATTTGCACCCCCTAAAGCCATTGAAATAAAGAAAAAATAATGCATACATACATACATACATACATACAGACAGACAGACATATTTCTTTTATAATGTCTATGTTCAAGTCATTTGCCCATTTTTCTATTGATCTGTCTTTCCTTTTTTGGGGGATGGTCTTTTTCTGTATACAATTTTCCTATTCATTATACTATGCATCTCTTTTTTTTCTTCTTTTAGTGTTCTACAAACTCCCCTTCCCTGTATTGTCAACACCCAAAAGACAAAATCACTGTTCTCGTCTTAATATCACTTTCAGGCCTGACACTATTTTTTCTAAAAACACCTACTCAAAAATACCCACTGATTTGCATTAGGAGATACTCTTCACCTGCTAAATTAGCCCAAGGTTTTTGTACTAGTAGTTCTGCTAAGATTTTAAACATGGTAGGAGCTTCTCTAGAAAAGTTGTGGCAAAGCCAAAATCAGCTCTGTGTGTGGAAAGAGCCTAGAAGATTTGTTTTGTTAGAAGTCAGAATTTATTAAGATTAGGATTAATGAGGCCTATCTGAGTATATTGGGAAAATGAGGAATATATAAAGAAGATCAAATGATTTTTTTCTACCCTCAAAAGGAACTTTTCTCACATGCAATACCTTTCTATGCCTTGTTTCATCTTGTTATGCTTCAGTGTTTTTCTCTCCCACTTAAATTGTCATTTTACTTGAAAGTGCTATCATCTCCCTCCAATTTTCACATTATGATCTGAACTTTGTCACTGTTCCTCCTGAAAGTGCTCCCATTGCCTCCCCTTACATTCATTTTCATAGTACAAGCTTTCCAATTCTATCTTCTCTTTCTCTGTTTTCAAGTTAACACTATTTATTTAATCTTTTCCTATCATTTTCCAGTCATTAATCTGCAATTTAGTTAGGATAAGTAAATATCTGTTTCAACTGATGGAAAAATCCTAAATTAAATAATTTGAAAATGGTCTATTTAATTTTACTATGTGAATTTTAATAAAATTTAACAACATAAATAAGCACCCATGTTTTACAATGTATAAAAACAATAAAAATATTAAATCTGGGATTACAGCTTTACAATTCTCTTCTATACTGAGCTCTATAACATATGGTTACAGTTCACAGCAGATCTTCTCTGTATCCAATAACCACCCCCATGAAGGTACTTATCAATGATCATTTCACATACATTTTTATTTTCTAGTTCTTCTCAATAAGGAAAATTTAAAGGCAATAAAAATTTACTTTTCAAGTTTTTTCAGCAGTTGGCAACCCTGGCTGCATATTAGAAAACGCTAAAAATTAGTGTTATCTGGGTCCCATCCCAGACAAGTTCATTCGGAATCTCTGGAGTGGGTCCCAGGAATAACTATGTTTTAGAGGCTCACCAGGGAAGTCTAACACATAGCCAGAGTTAAGAACTGCTGAGTTTGTTGTCAGGAATCTGAAGAAAGAATGGCGATAAGTAAAAAAAAAAAAAAAGTTGAAAAGTTTAGTACTACATTTAAGTTTGCAACTCTGTATCCTCAGAGGCGGGTGAGGGTCCTCTCTTTGGCCCAGTCCTGGATTTCTGCTTGTCCAAACATGAGGTAAAAGATTAGGCCAAACATGTTGACCGCAGCCGACAGGAAAAAGACATTTCTCCATCCAGACTCATAATCCTGGATGCAAAAAATACAGAATAATTATGAATCTCACATGTTTCTTCTGCACCAGTTCTAGAAATCCTCCCTGTTGTGAATTGCAATGTTGATCACAGAGAATATAGGGAACAATGTGTAATAGCCATATAACATCTTAAGTCATCAAAGACAGTTTATGAAACTGTTGGAAGCAAAATGACTCTAAAATATGCACTGAGTTCTGAATTGGGATAGATTTTTTTTTTTAACAAAAATAAATTAAACTATGCTGATACGTTTCTGGAAATTTGGGTCTCAACATTCATGAAAAATATAGTATTACTTAAAATTATGCCTAAAACGGACTCTTTAAAATCTCATGTTTGTGTTTTCTCTGTTCTGTGTTTGTTTTGGGCTATTGACATCAATTACAACAACACCGTCTCGATACAACACGAGTTCTATTTGGTCTGCCTGTGTAACCCTCCTCACTAAGCCCTTAGTAAGTCATAGTTCACGTCCACAGTGGATTCCTAGCAATTTGGTCAAAAGTTAACCCAGAAACTAGATCACATAGAGATATATTAAAAACAAAACAAAACTTCTCTTTGTACATTGACTCTTGTCAGTCCTTCCATCCCAGTCTGGCTCTGCCTTTTCAACTTCCTCTTCAGTCCACACAAAGTATGCCTCACAACCCATGCTCCCTGCACTGCCACATAGCCATTCACCTTTTAGTCATTTAGCTTCTCTTTAAACTGACACTTGAACACTTCATGTTTTATTTTTTAATTGGAATTAGTCCAAATAGATTCTTCATGATCTTCCTCTTCTGTCCCTCTGTCTTCATTTCTCACTATTCCTTGACATGTATCATTCACTCTGAACATAACTAAGAACAGTTTCATGCTGTGTACTTCTAGGAAGTCATACATACTGTCTTCTGCACAGAAACAGTTCATTTTTATCAATCTAACATCTATTTATTTTGAGAAATTCAGCTCATATTTTCTTCCCCTGGGAAACCTGACCAGCCAGAAATCTGGTTTGGATGTTCCCATGAAAAAAGTAATTGTGTTGACATCCATGCTTGCTTCCCCCATGAGACCTTGAGAGCACAGTGGGTATCTTCAACACCTGAAACAATACCTGCCACTTTCAGATGTTCAATAAACTGGCCCAACCTGACTGATAAGGAATCCAGTAGCAGTGGAAGAGATGATTCCTGCGATAAGCCCAAATCCCCTTGAGAGTCCCATGAGGAAACTTGCATATCTGTGGAAAGACGACTTTATAAATGGTTTTATATAGAAAGTCCTGTACAGCTTCTGCAGCAACTCAACTTTAGTGAAGCTTAGCTCCAGTATCTAAGTCATTTTGCCTAAATGTAGTTTTTTCCTCACATAAAGATGTTCAGGGCAATGACTGTTTGCCAACACTGAATTTACCTGTCCCTCAAGTCAGTATAGACAGACTGTAGGAAGTCTCTCTGGGAGCTAAGTCTCTATCCTGGCTGCTCAGATTGGGAGGTAGTTTGTGCAATGGGCAAGATAAGACCTCAAAGCCAAACTGCTTGAGTCCAAATCCTAGCTTTGCCTTTACATGACCATAGTCACAACATATCCTTCTTGTCCTCAGTCTTCTCAATAAAATAAGAATAACAATATGACCTACATAATGTAACTGTCAGGATTAAATAGGTGATATATGATAAGTCTTTAGAATAGGGGTTGGTTCATGGTGAGTACATATATATGTGGTAACTCATAGTACCCTAGAAACTTTTCTGAAATGTGTGTGGGCCATTTACTAGCATACACAGCCTGGGTATTCCCAGAATACCCACGATCTCTAGTAGAGAGGCTTGGGAAACTTTTTATCTAAATGATTACCAGGCAAGATTGGGACTTTTTGTTCTAAAACTGCCACATTAGGTCATGGCCACATATTGACATTTCTAGTTACTTGTCATTCTGTAATCAGTTAGGGTATGTCAACAACATGAAGGAGTTGCATAGTGACAACAAAGGTCTGATGCCTCTGTAGGTGTCTGAAGGAGGGAAAAAAAAATAGGTGAAACTCTTACCTAGGGGCAACATCTAAGATGTTGATGATAAACCCTGAGTCACACAGGTTGCTGGTCCCAGGAATAAGTATCAGCAAAATAATGGTTGTCATGTAACTGGAAGTCACGAAGGGCAGGGCCACGGCACATAGTGATGGAAGGAGGAGCCCTATTCAATGAGGACATGCTGTCAGAAACAGTCTCAGACTATGCAAGGAAAAGAGACTGGTTAACTGAACCCACATGCCCATCCTTACCTAGGGATGAAAAAAGTTTTCTCACAGTAATCAATCTGAGAAGATTCCTGGACAAAAGGAAATCTGCCAACTGACCTCCTAGAATTGTACAGCTTGATGCAGCAATAAAAGGTAGGGAGGACAGAACCCCACTCTGAAGAAAGGAATTGTATACAGAGTAGTTATAGAGATGCATATAGCACCAAAATTTATCAGTTACACAGATCAACCATTAGCCTACCTCCTAACATTCTGAGTTGTTTGGGGGAAATTAGCATCCTTTTACACAGTTTCAGGTAAGAAGGCCAGCAGCTGTGTCATAATGGACTCCGTAGAAAAGCAATATTATTTTCTAAAATAAAGTTTAGAATGAGCTGGTGTAGCAGTGTAGCATATTGTTAAGGCCACAGATGCAGCAGCAGCTCTATCACTTAGTATTGTGAACCTGGGGCAAGTTATCTCACCTCTACATGTCCCATTTCCATATATGTGAAATAGATGTAATTACAGTGCCTCTCTCAAGGTCATTGTGCAGGTTAAATGAATGGTTGTGTGCAAAGTCAGAATGTAATATATAGCAGAGAATCATTTTTCCTTATTGCCATTATTATTTTCATATAAGTATAGAAAGTATACTCACGTCTCTGATGTTAACATGGAGCACAGTGCTGATGTATGTTGGTAGGTATGTTATGATTATGGTGCACAACCAGAAGTGACTGAAAAAGCCCGTGAATATGGCCCAAAGTGGTAGGCATCTGATCATAGCCTTTATGGGGACAGATCGTCTAGAAGAACTGGACTGAAAAAAAGTATCTAATCAACACAACTATTAGAACAGGCCAGAGAACACCTCTTCCAGGAGATCCACACCCTGACCTGGAAACTTTTGGGGTGCACTGTACCTGTTGAGCCAGTGAAGACATGATGTGCTCCTTTTCCCTGACACTTATGCATGGGTGATGCATGGGATCATCATAAATAACTGTGAACCATAGAAGACAGCAGACACAGCCAGTGCTACCTGAGAATCAGAAACAAAATTAATTTTCAGGTAGGTTTGTGTATAGGGGAAAGGAGTTTCCTTGGGAGACTCCCCACCACACACGTATGGCTAATCTACCATAAGAATCTAAATTTTTCCGTTTCTTTCTTTCAATCCTTCTACAAACCTTCTTCTTCCATTAATCCCTTCAAAATACTACCTTGCAAATACAAAGTCACCATTTGTCAATGTCAGAGCCTTTTGGAGATAACTTGAGCATGACATTGCATAGCTGATTTATTACTCTAAAGGCCCTAATGGTTATAGTACTATGTGGTTTTAGCAGCAAATACTTAATATACACATTATTATCTTGTTTTGGAAGATCTGAATATTCAAGACTAAAGAAGAAGCATAGTTATTCATGCATGGAACAACCGCCATGAAATTAGTGGGGCAAGAAAAATTTCCAACGCATCTACAAGAGATAAGTGTTATTTGTGATTCAAACCATATATCCATTATGGATTCCCAAAATAAATACTTATTGACAATACCTAGTTAAGATGGACAAACTCAAATGATCTGGGATTACCATCATTAAAGAAAAAGTCATCCTAGCTAGAATCATATTTAATGACATTATTTGACTATAACAACAGAGCACTCTTAGAAATGCGACTTGTTACTGGGATTTGTTATTTGAAGAAGATTCTATGTTAAAAGATTCTGGGTACTAATGTTCTTTAAATTCCCTCTAATTATAAGATTCATCCATTCTTTTATTCTAAAGTCAAAAGTCAGACACAATGATAACACCAAGGTGATAAAAACATTATAGAATGAATTCCTTGCCTTAAGCATTTCATAGTCTAGTGGGCAGATAAGGGGAAATAAACAATTACATGTCAATATAATCTAGAAAGGAAATATCAGTAAGAATCACAGAGGAGAGAATGACTAAATCTGACAAAATAAGTCCTAGAAGGTCTCATGGGAAAGGAGACATCTGAATTAAACTTTGCAAGATTCACTTGGTAGAAAACAAGTTAATGGCATCTTGGGTAGCAGTAATTACAATGAAATATTACACAGACACATTGAAAATGTATTTTACTATCCACTATCTCTGACATCTAACTGCATATAGTGACTAGACCAGGCATTTCAGATGTGGTAGTAGAGAATCTATAGACAATGCTTGAGGCAGAAGGGCAAGGCTGCATTCCTGATTTAAAAGTCAGAGCCACGTGACTAGTCATCTCCTCTGCCCTGTGCATGTGATTTCCCAGAATCACCAGGAAGGTGTTAAGTCAAGTTGCATGAATAGATTAAGAGAGATATCAATCCTCAACATTTTTCGACATCTTCCATTTAACAAAAGATATTTTATCTCATATGGGAAGAATGTGGGTGATGTAGGCATCAAAAAGCATACTTAAGATATGAAAGTGTTAGGATTAAAGAGAAAGTGACTCACCAAAAATGTAGAAAATAAAAGGCCAGCCCAATGCCTGTGAGATTAGTCCTCCCACACAGAGGATGATGAAGGATCCAAACGCTGCCCCTGAAGAGAAGAGGGAGAAAAATGCTTATGAAAACAGCAAAGACTGAGACTTCATGGCCTTCCTGTATGTTGTCCCAACAGTGAGGTGGCAGACTTAGAATTACTGGGTGATGAGAATATTTATTTCTGCTCACAAATTTTCCCCAACAATCATATGATATAATTAAAATTAACAAATAATAATAATATGCCCCCTGACTCTTTAATGGTTCCTAAATACCAATGTGATTAAATCTAAATCCTTCAGTTTGTCATAGAAATTCTCTGTAATCATGGCTCACCAGTATTTCCCTATGATTACAATAGATTATTGCATTATGAAACATGAGGTTGGAAGCAGAAATAAAAAGACTTACAAAAATCAATAAGATATAGTCCCTGTCCTCAAGGAAGTTTTGATCTAATTGGAGAAAAAAATGTCAATAAAATTCACTATCACATGTGAAATACCATGTACACCTTGGAGTCTACATTGAAAAAACAACATAATTCAGAGACTCACATGTAAGAAATGTAAGAAATACATTTTACATGGTAATATAATACATGCATATAAATATACACAAACAGTTGTATATGCAACCACACACATACGCCTCAATTAAAAGTTTCATGTACCAGTCAGTTGTGATGGCTCATGCCTGTAATCTCAGCACTTTGGGAGGCGGAGGCGAGAGTATTGCCTGAACCCATGGGGTTCAAGACCAGCTTGGTGGCACCTATAATTCCAGCTACTTGAAAAACTGAGGTGGAAGGAACACCTGAGCCCAGGAGGTCAGTGCTGTGGTAGCTGTGAGTGTGCCACTCACTCCAGCCTGGGCAACAGAGTGAGAGGTCAACTCAAAAGAAAAAAAAGTTTCATGAATCAATATTCAACTTTATCATATGCAATCAATGCACTTTAACATTTTCAGTTTTAGTCTATTCACTTTTACTTTTTTAAACACTAATTTTGATTTACTAAATTGATTTTATGAACCATTAATGGGTCCCAATCTGCAACATGAAAAAAATGATGTAGAATATAAATATGATAATAAAATTACATTGTGCTATGAAAGTATAGTTGAAGATAAATTAATAATTATAAAATATAGGAATTGTTTACATGAGCTAAGCAGTAGGATAGCTGGAATATTGGCAAGAGGAGCAGAGGCAGAGAACTTTTCAGGAATATGAGCCAATGGGAACAGTCAGAGGGAAGTGAAGTGCAGATGTATGTGAGAAGCAGAAAACATCTGGTACAACTGGAGTCTTGCTTGCAGAGGAGAGTCAAGTGGAAAGCAGTTGGGGCTGGATGGCTGAACACCTTTATATCCATGCAATGAAAAGGTCAGTCTTAACCCTGTAAACATAAAGGAACACATTGAAGATTCTCAAGAAGGTGAACAAAAATGACCTATCTGTACTTTAGAAAGATAACTTGACCTTGATAGGAAGGAAAGGTTGGAAGAAATCAAGCTATAAGAGAGACACCACAGAGAGTATTTGAAAATGGTGGAAGTGGTGATGACTGTGATGGAAGGAAGCAAAAAAACAGGAGGGTTGTTGTGAGTAAACGCCCAGAATGCAGCAAGGTATTAGATGTGAGAGTGAGAAGCTTGACAGAATCTCAGTTATATTCTTTAAGTATGTATCCTTGCACTACAGCCTGGGTAAAACAGCAATGGTAAAACTGTAAGAGGCATTAGTAGGATCACATACCACAATGAGACAGCCTCGCATCATGATTGAGAATGTGCTGAACACCTTTGAGCATGGCTTCAAATCTCGGTTTTACCACATGATGGTTCTTTGTATTTGGGCAATTTATTTAATCACTATATTACTAACTCTAATTTCTGTAAAATGAGAGTTCAAAATAGTACTTACATGAGATAGTTGTTTTAAGATCTAATTAACTCAGAACAGTAAAGAGTTCAGAATAATGCAGACACTTTAAACTCTACTTTCCTACCATTTTGAGTTCTGGTATCCTTAATCTTCACTTCAACATCTTTGTTAAAATAGTGTTTATATAATTTACTTCAACTTTTTTTCACTTATGCAATTTTTAAAGCTGCAAACTTTTTTCTATAAGGCTTTTCTGATTTCCCTAGCTCACAAAGGTTGTTTCTCTTTTGGAGCCTCAGTGTCTTTACAGCGCAGATATATCTTATTTGTTATGTAATTATCTTATATTGTTGAATTTTTCAGTAGTATTTTTTTCCTTCTCTCCCAAGCCATCCGATTCATAGAAGGAAAGACACGATAGGATGAAACAAACTACAATCTGTGACTCATGTATGCATCCTTACCTGATCCTGCAATGCTGGTGAGCTTGCTTCGTTCAAGTGGAGGAGCCCATTTTGCCCAAATTGTAAACTGACCTGTCCATGCCATTCCCTGAAATGAAGATCATGAAGATCTTTGCTCTTTTATAGAATTCAGGAATCTGGATCCCACCCGGAATGAAAAAGTATCTGGATACCTGGGCCATGCCCTGGATTGTTCGAATCACAATGACCAAAATCACTCCGAAGTCAGCAGCCAATGGTGTAAAGAGGGCGAGAAGTGAAGAGATCAACAAGCCAGCACCAAGCATCTGTTTTGCTCCAAATATCCCTGCTAAATATCCACTTGGGATCAGAGTCAGCATTATCCCATAGCTGATGGAGCTAAAGATAATACCCTGAGTCTCTGGGCTCCATTGATACACAGAGGCCTGGGGGGGAAAAAGGAAAACCCTTTGCTAAGAAGTCCTTTTATTGAAATCTACTTTACAGTCAGAGTTTCTTATAAAATAGTAGTGATAGCCTACTATAAGATATCTATTTTAGTTTTTCTCTATTTTTTACCTACCACTTTCTCTAAACAAACGACCACTTTTACCCCTAATTTGCTTCTCTAAGAAAGAGAGAAAAAAACAGAGGAAATAAAGGAGAATACTAGGAAGAAGCCATTGGAGATATTTCAACTGTGAAAGAATTTCTTTTAACTATTTGACTTCTATTAAAAGTTGGGTAACATATTTACTCTTATATCAAAGTATAAGAAAAACACTTTACTGAACTCTTACCAAAATCAGTCCCTAAGTAAAAAGAAAAATCAAGGCTGAGCACAGTGGTGGCTTATGTCTTTCATCCCAGCACTTTGGGAGGCTGAGGCTCCCAGGAATTCTAGATTAGCTTGGGCTACATAGTGAGACATCGTATCTACAAAAAAAAAAAAAAAGAAAAAATACAAAAATTAGCTGGGTTTGGTGGCACATGCCTGTAGTCCCAGCTCCTTAGGAGGCTGAGGTAGAAGGATCACAAGAGCCCAGGAGGTTGAGACTATGGTGAACCATGATCATACCACTGCACTCCAGCCTAGGCAAGAGAGTGAGATCCCCAACTCAAAACAAGAAAGAAAGAAAGAAAGAAAGAAAGAAAGAAAGAAAGAAAGAAAGAAAGAAAGAAAGAAAGAAAGAAAGAAAGAAAGGAAGGAAGGAAGGAAGGAAGGAAGGAAGGAAGGAAGGAAGGAAGGAAGGAAGGAAGAAAGAAAGAAAGAAAGATCAAGTTTGGGAATTATGGTCTGCCTCCAGTAGAGCTGACTTCCTAAAACACATATTATAAATGAATAAGATCACATTCTTCTTCAGCTATAACTCAACAAATAATTAAGTTATTTAAAAATAACTACCTAAACAATCAAATAAGTTATATTACCTAAATAGTGACTTAAAAATAAATAGCTTTTAGGCATCATGGCATAATGCCCCTAGATTGTGGACTCGTGCTATAAATAAGAGAGTCAAATAATATTTAAAAATGCAAATCAGCCGGGTGTGGTAGCGCATGCCTGTAATTCCGGCTACTCGAAAGACTGAGGCGAAAGTATCGCCGGAGCCCAGCAGGTTGAGGCTGCGGTGACCGGGAGCGGCTACTGCACTCCAGTCTGGGCGACAGAGTGAGACTCCAACTCAAAAAAAAAAAAAAAAATTTAAAAATGCAATATCTTATCTACTTCATTATAAATAAGCTGGTTTCAATGGAATAAATTCATGAATTATGAATTATAGGGATGACATCAGAAACTTACAGAAGATGATAGTATAAAGAATAATTTTTAGAATGGAGTATAATCATGGTTCTCATACAAATATAAAATTAACATGTGACAAAGATTTTCTTTACCTCATTGACTAATGAGAGAATCAGTTAGATGTTACAACTGGTTCAAAGAACCACACATACATAAGCATGAAGCAATGCTGAAATAGATTTTAAGTAGATGGTACAACTGGCTTATTCAACTGGTTGGTAGTGGAGAAGAAACTCAATTGAGTTTCCACTGGGCAGGATTTATTTGCAAGGCTATGGGCAAGAATAATTTGCCTTTCTATTCATTTTTCACAGGGTTGCAAAATAGTTCAAAAACAATAAAATAAGTGCAGAGACCTGAATATAATTAGGTAACCTAGAAGAATAAGTAGTACCTAGTTTTTCATTGAAGACATTTCACAATCTGTTCTGTTTTTTAAAGTTTTCTATTTTTCTCTACAGTTTCCCTACACTCTAATCATAATAATTGGAATGAAATATTATTTTTATTATAGAGGTGAGCAATTTTCATAGAAAAATAACTCCAGTCATTTTTAGTTTGTCATTGAAAAGCCATATTTCTATATTACACAGAATCAAGATCCAAGCCTTCCTTTCAAATTGAGTTTTTCCCTCTCAACAAAAAAGCTTGTTCTCCATCACACTTACTCTTGTGTTAAATTCCTTGATGGGTCTGCTAGGACTATTAAGGGTGTCTGCAAGAGGTCCCTCAGTGGAGGCATTAGATAGATCATACTGCTGAGTGTTGTTCACCATGGCAATGATTGCAATGCTCAGACTCACACGCTGGGTTATCATGGTGAAGTTTGAAAAGTGCATGATGAGAGCCAGCCCATAGCGTAATGAACAGAAATCTGGACCTAGAGACCAATACAGAAGTGTGCAATGAGCATCAAGACTGTGACCCCCTTCTTTCCTTTTCTCCCACAGCTAATTCTGAAAGAACTTTGGTTGACTTCATGGAATCTCACTGTCTTTTCACCAAAATAGCCATTACCACAACTTTATTTTGTCAAAATTTTTGGTTGGCTTCAAGGTAATGAACATGAGGTAAGACAATCAAGTAAATATGGCCTTCTTTCAGAGATGTGGGAAACAGGTGATAAATAACCCAAATGTAAGGAATTTATGTCGCAATGCTTCAAAGTAAAGTGAATGGAGAAGATGGTGGCAGAATCAGTCACAAAAGTCAAGTCTTTGGGCTGCAGGTCAGTGGTTCCATCTGTTATGTACACTCATTTGTTATAAAGCTTGAGTTTATACATAGAGAACTGCCTTTGAATTAAGCTAACTGCATATCTAAAGATATTCTTTTTAAAATATCTGCAAAATAATAATTTAAATTAGCACCTCCACTAACTCCTTAGTGTAATGTTCAATTGTCTATTTGGAAATATTTTTACTGTGTGTCACCAGACTCTGCCTTCACATATGTTCAACTTTTAAAAAAAGAATATGTAGAACAATTTTTATTAAGTTTGTAGGTGATGTAGTGCTAGAGGAGTATTTAACATACTGCAAGGACAACACACACACTCACGCACACACACACATACACACACACACACGCGCGCGCGCACACACACACACACACACATACACAAAAGGCCCACAAAGTGAAACAATGGACCAAAATTGAAAGGGTTCCCATGTGAATGATGATTAGATTTTTTTCTGCATATTTGGAGAATAAGGATTAAGGGAAACAAGGAAAGAACCTATAGGAAACAGATAAAAATATAATGGAAGAAATAATCTTTGATGGTCAAATAAGCTCAAGAATAGGATTGGTTATCTGTAAAATAATTATTTCCATATTACTGGAGGTTGCCAAATTCCGGAGAAATAGCCAACCATTTGGCTTTTGGGGGGGGGGGGCAGGGATTCATACAAGGTTGGAAGTTTGCTTAAAATGATTTTTTCAAAATGTATTCCATTCCTAGATTCTAGGATTTGTCAATCATTTGCCTTAATTTTTCACAGATAATTCTGTGGCACTCCCTAAGGAAAAAGCAATCAGTAACAAAATCAGGGGCTGGATGTGGTTATGATGTACTGGGAGAATCTTTACAAAGGGGCAGCATGATGGGAAAGGGAGGAGGGGAGAGCAGGAATATGTAAAGAACACTAGAAATACGTTTCAATTCTTCCATAACATAGCCTGCAAACAAGAGTGGTGGCTTTACCTTTCCTGGTGGTAGGTTTCTCGTCCATTTAGCTCCTCTGAGAAATGGTACCACACTTTGTGGTGGAGTTTCCCTGTGCACTGAATCTCTTTTACCACGACAGTCTTTACCTATGATGAGAACATAATCCAAAACATGACAAACAAATAATTTTCTCTTGTTAATGTTACCTTCTGTCAGCATCAGTAAAAGTTTTGACCTAACACACTTATATAATTTACATCTTACAGTATACTGTTGCTATGTTTTTGGAGGACTGGATTGTTACAAGGAAATCTGACCGTAAATCCCATCTATGTGATGTAGATAAATTCTCTCATCATCCATTTCCTCACCTGTTCAATAATGATAACGCTTCTACCTGAATGGTGCTGTAAGAATTAAATGAGAAAACTTCAAACATTTTATCATAAAACCATGCAAATGTAAGATTTATTTATTTTATTAGGAAAGTTAAGTTAAGCTTAAGTGCTAAGGATAAAGGATCCAGAACATTCTTTTATTTTATTCTGACCATTTTTCTGTCTTCTTTGTATAACCAGAACAATGTTCCATGTGTCTTCCTTGAACATGAAGAATGACATTGCATAATACTTATATGTATTACATGTGAAAGTTGAAAAGTTTCTTCTCATCTTTGCTACACAAAATTTGGGTACTTTATTGGACTAACAGGGTCTTCAAGTTACCTGTAAGATTATACTGAATGGGGACTTTCTACTACAATTATGAATAAATCCAGCTATCTCAATAAGCAAAGAGAATTCATAGACCCAAATATGAACATGTTTATTTTGATATTTGTACACCAATCAAACTGTCTTTGTGGACATGTACATTGGTTTCTTTTAGGAACAATTCCAATCTTAAAAATATAATCAATTATGCATCCATTATTAAACTGTAGCTTCCATGACTTCAAAAACATATGCATCATCCTTATATTTTATCATTAAAGGTTTTGCACTCTTTCTGCATACAAATTTGAAAACATTTATTCACACTGTTATAGATACATAATCTATGGCCTTAGGATGACAAATTGTAAGGAAAGATACAGGTGCATAATTTTGTCCAAAAAGATTCTTTGTCATATTACTTATGACAACATAATTTTAGAAATAAATTAACCTAACAATAAGCATTTGGAAAGTCAAATTTGATAAATTTTGCGACAGACTTTATTTAAATAATGTTTTCAAATATATTAAATAATTTTAGAAAATGCTTATACTCTAGTGTACAAACTTGTATGTATTGTGCACATGCACATACAGAAAGGGAAACAGATTCACACAAGTACTATTTCTGGGTTACAGAACAGGGTGACCACTTTATTCTTTATGATTTTTTATATTTACCAAGTGATTCTTTTTGATAATTAGTAGACATCCATTTTATACCCAGAAGAAGCAAAGTCTATTCAAAAGAACAATAATTAGGCTTCATCATCATGATCAGGACAGTTTTCTGCTTGCCAAATGTCTCTAGAATTCTGAGAATAATGTCACCATATCTAAGTTTTGATTTTTTTTTTTTTTTTGTCACAATGGGCCCAAATAGAGGCTCAATTGCTGGTAAAAGCTGGTCAGCACCAGGACAAATATTGGCTGTTGCTGCTCTGCTTTGGAAAGTCTCTAAGTCTTGTTTTTTCTATTGTTGTTTGGTTTCTTTGTTTGGGGGGGATTTTTTGAGTTGGAGTCTCACTCTGTCACACAGGCTGGAGTGCAGAGGCATGCCCATGACCACCACAGCCTTTACCTGCTGGACTTAGGCGATCCTTCTGCCTCTGCCTTCCAAGTTGCTGGACCCACAGGTGCACACCACCATGCTCAGGTAAATTTTTTATTTACTGTAGAGATGAGGGCTACCAAGTTGCCCACATAGGTCTCGAACCCATGGGCTCAGGCAATCCTCCCACCTCCACTTCTTAAAATGCTGGGATTACAAGTGTGAGCCATGCCACCCAGCTTTCTAAGTCTGGTTAACATCTGAATATCAGGAGTTCAGCTCACATCACCATCCCACATTCAGATCTTAGCAGAAACCATGTGGGTCCAAACCCAGAATCTGGATCATTTTCTATTTGATTTCATTTATTGTGCAAGATCCCATGACTTGACTGAAGAAAACTTTTTAACTGTACATATAGCTACAAGTACTATATGTACTATATTCCTCTTAAAGCTCTCCCGCCAACATTTCAAATAAATCTTATAATCACTGAACTCTGAAAAAGACTCAGAAATCTTCTGGCCCAGTTGCTCATTTTATTAATGAGAAAATTAGTGTGCAGAAAGTTTCAAAAGTTGCCTGAAGCCACACAGCTCACAGAGTCAACACCAGATCCCCTAATGTCCAGACTGCTGCTTTTTCTACCTGTTAATAGTATTTTCCTTTTATTTTCATAATATTTTAAGCACAAGCTTAAAACACCATAGAGTGGCTTCATTTTGAGGTATTCTGAAAGGAAATTTATACAACTTAAATCAAGTGTTAATTATTTATTTCAGAAGAAAATTTGATAATGAAAATACTTTAAGTTGAACTTTGAATATTAAACGTGAAAAACTACTTTTTCTTGCTTTTTATGTTAGTAAAATTGTATCACAAACCTATCACTTCAGTTTTCCTTCCCATTCTCTGTTGTTATCTAAAGAGAAGGAATAAAAAGCCCAATTTAGCTTTCATGGTTTCAAATGTTACTTTGAATTTTGTCTCAATAGTTAATTTCAGTTGTTAATTTCTTTTTTTTTTTCCTTTTGCATGAGACAAATGCAAAAAAATCAGGCTAACATTCTAAACCATTCTAAACTAGAATGTTTCTGTGAAATAGTAATAGAAGCTATGTTTCTAAAATAACCACAGAAACGTATAAAATTATGGGACCTGAGAACTGGCATGATTGATACGCACTTAGGTGCAATAGAATAATTTTTAGTCTAGTTGTAAAAAACGGAGAATATGGAATGATGTTAAAAACCTTCCCTTTCAGGCGGTATACCTCTAAAAAACTCCTGAATTCTAGTGTCAATGTTGTAAGTAGACACAGAAAAAAATGGATTTAAATTAAGCTAAAGGAGAATTTTATATTTAAAAAATAATTGTTTGACACCATATAGGATGAATTTGAGATAAAATCAATAATATAGATATTCTGGTTTATGCAAAAGTTAAAAAAATTTTTTCTATTCTTTTTAGTTGAGAACTCATTATTTTATTATAATGATCTTTCTATTACTCTTAGATATCCACTAATATCCAGCTTGTCTTTCATCATCTCTGTTAGTCAAGCGTCCTAGTTTACTCAGAGTAAATGTTACATGTAGTTCAAAGAGCATAAACCCTCAGCTGAGAGAGTATCCAGAGATGGAATTCTCTCTGCCATTTCCAATGTGAGTAAACCAGAGCAAGTTTCACAAACTCCCAGAGCTTTACTTCATGGGGAAAATGGAGATAATATTACTTCACAGGGCTATCTGAAGTAAAGACAAAGGTACGAGATGCCTTGTAAATTATAAAGTACTATACATTGTATTATATTATTGATATTAACAACAGCGATAATAATAAACAGTCACAATATTGGCAGTCTTGCCCTTTCAAAGTAAGGTATAGGCTTATAACAAATAAAATGTATTTCTATAAAAGTGCATTTGATTGGTTGTTAAATTGGTTTTAAACTTTTCTTTTAAAAGTGGGTTCTGTTGGCCTGGAATTCATAAGATGAATGGGGAGGAGTTCATCTTGCTGCAGACATCAGAGTACATGGAAATATACAATTATTTCTGCATTAGTAAATCTGTGACTTGTCTCACCACCTGCCTACATTTCTGAGGTAGTTTTGAAATAAAATTGGTTGTCCCCGTATATCATTTATGTCATGCTGTCAATTTATTTATGAATTTAATCATGAAAAAAGAAAAAGTGTACTGAACACCAATGGTGGGCAATTCTAGAAGACAGGGTTATGCCAAAACTAAGGTGTGATTGGAGCACTGCTTAGGTAGCTCACAGCTCTTAACAGATCTGTCTGTGCCTTTCCTCCCAGTGAGAACCTCAGGCTATGTCTTCCAGGTAAATATGATCCCAACTGTGCTGTAAATCAGGATTTCTCTGGGGAGACTGGGGGATAGCACCTTCCCTGAGTTTTTTCCCCTGTGGCTTTTCATCATAACCCTAACAGATGCTGCCCATAATATCTCTGAGTAGCTATTCTTAGCTGTACAATAAGAGCAACAAGCCAGGTGATCTCTACAAACATACGATTTTTCTTGCCTTTGATCTTATTCACAATTTAAGTCATGTTCTATTTTCGCTATTTTTATTTTATTTTTGGTGAAAATAAGGTCTTACTATGATGCCTAGGTTGGTCTTGAACTCCTGGGCTCAAGCAGTCCTCTTGCCTTAGCCTCCCAAAATGCTGGGATTACAGGCGTGAGCCACCGCATCTGACCCATGTTCTCCTTTGCTTAAGAGACAATTTCAAATAGACATGTATGTTTAAAAGGACTTATTAGTCACAGTCTCAAACCCAAACCTTGCCAGTTCTGATCTAGTATTTCATTTCCTAACCAAAGCCAGTCCAGCGTATCAAGGGATCACACTTAATACTCACCTAGTCCTTGGAGAAAAGACCATTGTCCACAGTGTCCATTGGCACCAATGAACTCTCAAGTCTTGCTCTGGGGTCTTGATTGAATCAGCTATATATATATATATTTTAAGTCTCTTCGTTTTGGAAATAGGCAGCAGTCCCAGATGGAGATCTTTAGGCTGCTGTTGTCTCTAACTTTCCCTAAAACTGTTCCCTCCTGTCAATTGATCTCTGGTAGATTAGTAATTATAATCCCATTCAAAAGGAAAAAAAAAAAAGCACTTACCTTCACCATTAAACCAGTATTGTAAGCCTCAGACTATAAGGATAACTTGAAGAAAGAGGGAGTTTCCATCTCTTCTGCCCTTTCAAATAATTCCACAGGGTTTCACAGGAATAAAGAAGGAGCCACGTGGCAGTCAGACAGCACC